AGCACACCTCTTTGAGAAAAACATTAGCGACGATCCTTTTTGTACATGCGGTTATATTGAAGACAACTTTCAATATTTATTTGCTTGTGAAAAATACACAAACATAAGAGAACAATACATTTGGGCACTCAATTATGATTTAAATACTGAATGTCTACTCTGGGGAAATCCCGATTTAACTATACAGCAAAACGAGGAAATCGTATCAGCTGTTCAAGAATATATAATGAAAAGTGAACGATTTGCATGATCGTATCCATTTCCATTTGTAAAAATAACTTGACTGTGCTTACTCTAACAACAATCTCGTTCTCAATCACTTGGTCACGATGTACTTTCATTGCAAATCTTGTACCTCTTACCAATGTAATCATAAATTACTTACCCATACTCGCTCTAAACTGCGTAGAAATACTATATTTGTCTTTAGTTGAATGTAGATATCCATTCACGCATTATTTACCAACGTAACACATACGTACTTTAACGGTATCCGCAAAGTACTTACATGTATCAGTAATATGAAATTTAGTCCCTAGTTAATATAATATACTTGCCCTTAGTATGGACATATTATATACTTATAATGATTTACCTTCACTACAAATACTGTACCTATTATTTTTTATGATTGCTATGTCGCCATATTGTACTATATTTACATTCTTACAAATGGCAAATATTACTATAACCAATGTATGCGTCAACTAGGCTTTAAATTATGATATATGTGCATGGCATAATGTATTTACATCTTTTGTGAAAATTGTGGGCCTGCAACACCTTGCTGGTAGGGCTATCCCCAACCCCTGTGTGCTGTGAGCCTACAAACTTATCATTATATTGCATAATGATGTTGTATAGTGTACTACACTTATATTCTTACAAATTGCAAATATGACTATACCCAATGCATGCATCAATTGGGCTTTAAAATGATGATATATGTGCATGGCATAATGTATTTATATTTTTTGTGAAAAAATTGAGAGCCTGCAACACCTTGCTGGTAGGGGTATCCCCAACCCCTGTGTGCTGTGGGCCTACAAAATTATCATTACAGTGCATATCTTGCACAATATTTTACTTACTCAAATGTATTAATACCAATTTATCATTATGCTTCCCACATTATAAGGTCGGTTTCTCCATGTGCATGTACAACTATCTTATTATGTACCTATATACTTTATTATTGTACTTACTATGTATCTATGCTTAATTATACCAAATGTTATGTTATATGTTATAATATTCTATACTCTCTGCACTCTTCAGTTCAGAGGTAATATAGGGAATTAAAAACAATTCATATCTAATTTGCACGCGACTACATTTCAAACACATGATCAGTACTCGGATTGTAATTTTATAGCTGCCACCAGCATTCCTTTCTAGTTGGACCACTCTGTCGATATGTGAATGGTATAACATTTTAGGAGATGGTTTTACATAAGCTTTAAGCTTGTTACCAAATCCTCTTAGTTAAGATTTGAATTATATGTATATCTAAATGTTAAACATTGAATAAAATATTGTTTAAACTAATAAGAAATGAAAGTATGAATAAGTTATGGATATAATAATTGATACGTATTTCACCGTTCATTTTGACAATAGATTCTAAAGAAATGTCAGATTCTAATACATAATGAGTACAGTATCTCCAATAAACAGGTCGAAAATAGAATGAAATCGTCTAATTCTTCATTTAATACTATCTACATTATTTATAAATGATAATAAATCGATTAAGTAATGAGAAAATCGAATAAGTAATGAAGGATTGGAATAAGTAATGAGCACTTTACATGTGTCTTATTGGTCGAAAATTGAATTAAAACGTTCATTCATTCATTTAAAGCTATGTATATTGTTTATAAATGATAATAAATCGAATAAGTAATGAGAAAATCGAATAAGTAATGAAGGATTGGAATAAGTAATGAGCACTTTACATATGTTGTATAGGTGGAAAGTGCAATTAAAACGTTTATTCATTCATTTAAAACTATTTTTTATCGTTTATAAGTAATAGGAATATCGAATAACAAATGAGGGAATGGATTAAGAAAAGTGTACTGAATATGTACACTGTAATAGAAAAGAGGAATAATAGAATGAGCACGTTTATTAATTATTTAGAAACATTTATTGTGTTATTTCATAATTTTTAAATGAATAAATAATAGGTATTGAATTAGGAATGAAAATTTCGAATAGGTAATTGAATAAGGAATAAGGAATCAACTTCACGGACGTATGAAACTTGGTGTGTACATTGGTCATACTAAGAAGTGAATGACTCGTATACCAAATTCAGGGCATGCAAACCCTTGATTACAGAATTATTGCCCTTTGGTAAAATTTTATATCGTATTCGGGGAGCATTCATCAGTTCCAATGACGCTCTTGTTAATGATTTCATCTATTTTGCTCTTTTAATAGACTGACAAAACATTTTAAAATTGACCAGATTCATGAAAACTGACCAGAATTAAAGACATTGTTTAAAACTGTGTGTAGACACGGAGCTAAAACCTCCTACAATTAATTAAGTTTTGTTTTTATTTAATACGCCATCCATGTCACACACCTTATTGCCATTGAGACTATCAATAGCGGAAATTTTTCTTCATTACTTATATCTAAATCAAGTTCATCATACACAACATCCCGTACAACATAATCACGTAAACATTCTGCAACGTTTTCATTTCAAATCGACATAAGTATCCACTGTCCTAATTCAGAAAAATGATCGAAGAAATCACTTAATGAGATATTACACTTTGTTATATTTTCCTCTTCAAATCCTTTATAGAAACTAGATCGCCATGTGTATACAAGGAACATATATCATACTCAGGTACAATGACGACAGGCAATTCAGATCTGAAACCTTCAGATCAGCATACTTTGTGTATATGATTCGTTTTGTTAATATTTTAATATGGTAACACAACAGTCGAAGGAAGACAAATTTTGACTCGTGCTTAAGTGAATCAAACTCATAGTGGTAGACATGGGCAGAGTCGTTCATCATATTGACACCATTGTCCATAATTGAGGTACCGAGCTGACTATTTGTTCTATTATGTCTTTGCGAATAGAAGATATCTGCCATCTCGCCTAGGAGTCGCCATCTACACATTGTTGTAGTTAAGTGGCATGTTTTTACCCTAAACTTATCGTAACAGAATTTATTTTCGGTTTTTTATTTGTGTACATGTGTATCTAACAGAAAAAACAACCTTTCATCCACACAAAATAGGTCATCCTTCGTTGCATATATATATATTTTTCATATATCGATGAAAATAAGTTGTGTCATTTTTAGTTGAAACTTACACATGAAGTCTCCTTCACAGTCTTACCAATTTTTTACCAAAACTATTATTTTGACAAATTTAATGTGAAATAAAAAATATTACGAAAAAATCTCCAAATGTCTGCCTCTTGCTATCAAATATAGTAACTTTCCAAGACATTGATATAACTTTGACAAACTTTGAAAAAAAAATAGTGGTGTCATTTCTTAGATGAAAATGGCACATAATTTCAGCTCACGGAAATGTTTTAAATCCCATCATTGAACAGGTAAACATGTCATCAATGTACGTGTATCGATGAGTCATTTAGACGGGCTGCTGTTTATTCATACTAAATATTTATATTGTTTTCCGATCAAAGTACTTTTGATATCTTCGAAATAAAGGATTTCATATGTAATTAGGGAAATGAATCATAAAATAAAATTGACATTTCCACATAGTGGCAAAGCTGTAACCAAAACTTAGCTCATGTGAATATCAACAATTAATAGAGTTTATTTGAATGTATCGGTTATTTTTCATTCATTTATTTATTTATTTTCGTCATTTATTTATCTCTCTACACATTCCGTTCGTATATATAATGCAATTTCAAAGGCATGTGTAGAGTTTACGACTGACATTTGTAACCATTGTGTGAATATATTAATGTTCAAAGTTGGGTGGATTGTGGAGGGAGGGGGGGGGGCATTTTGAGCTGTTTGTAAGTCGAAATTCACCAGTGATGTCCAAAATGATGTATGCATTATCTTACTATCACTTTAAGCAAATGTTTAAAAAAAAAAGTGCGGTACTTTTTTTCTATGTAAGTTACTCTTAGCATTTACAATACCAGTTTGTCATTGGAAATAATAAATGATGCCAAACCGACCATGAAAATCCTCATCTCGCGCTAGTTTGACTGACACGATAAAAAAAAAATGTGCAACAGAATTGTGAATGCATTGCTTGTGTCTTATCCGATCGCTAAATCAGCAGGACCCCATAACATGGTCTTCTTTATTGATGTTCTTTGTTGTCCTTCAAATTTATTTCATGAAAACATCTATTTCATGGAGGTTTTGCTAGTAAAAGAATGTGTAAATTGGACAAACGCTGTTCGTATTTAAAAAAGAAAAAAATGTTCAGACTTATGAACCTTACCTTTTTCATTGTTAAAAAGTTAGGCAAAAACGCAGATCTGATAAATTGAAGGCATTAGGTTCTGAGCTTGGACACCTTTGTAAAAGCATTTTATCAATATCGGTATTTTCAGTAAGGGGTGTTCGGTCGAGGCCATGCACAAATGTTTATAAATATTTTAAAATATCTTGTAAGTACTGATCGTTCTTTTTCAAATCACTGGTTGCTTGAGTATGTTCACAAGGAATAACACCAAATGAATGCTTTTAAAATATGAGTTCCAATGGTCACTTATGAATATCATACGAAATTTCAGGTCTTTAGAAGAGCTACTTAGATAAATAACAGTATTTTTCTACATTGTTAACAAACACAAATGCAAATAACGATTACGCGTGCTTGAAACAATAATCCCAACTAATAAAACCACTGTGTTCATCCTTTTACTATCGGGACACCTCATACCTTTACTTGATTAGTAATGGATGACTCTTTCATATTCCGAAGTGCAATATGAGAGTTATCGGACTTAGGTCAGCCATGCTAATAAAGCAAGTTTCGTAAGCAGAAGATATATTTGATCACAACACTTTCAGCTCGATATGTTTTCCGCAAATTCTACAGTACCTCAGGTAAGATAATGTATATTTTATAACAACAATGCATTGATAACACTGTTTGTCCAAGGCGAACTAAACAAATTGAGGAAATGTCATCTGATGAAATTGGCAGATGTTGAAATAACAAATACGTTCCTTTACACTGATATTGGAAATGGTTTTTAACTAGGCAGTTACTTGTAGAAAATACACTATTATCCTCTGATTCTTGAGAAGGCTTATATAATGAATGTTTCCTGCTTTCTGTTTATTATTATTATTTAATCTTTTTTTTTCTATTTCATATAACTATGACTGATAATACGTGGTTATATAACCTGTTTTATCATACATAACATCAGGGACGTCCCTGATTACATAAAATAAGCATTGTTATTCGTAAAACATTTGTATGACGACTTATTTGTTACCGAAATATATAGAATGGATGGTCAGTGTCTAAAAACATGAGCTGCATTATGGCGACAAAGATGAAAGACAAATGTGGCGAGCAGATATTTTAAGACACTGACCATATATTCTATCTATCCCGCAACTTTAATTGAAAATCACACCATCAAAGCTTCAACAGTTTTGTTGTTCAATCTCTTTGATGTTACCATGTTTATTACAACATATGAAATCACATATTTCAACACTTCGTCATATTGTTAAACTTAATTTTTGTAAATTCAGAAAGTAATTCTGTTGAATTTACATGCTAAAACACAGTTATCGGTCACTGCTGAATATGTAAAAATATCTGTGGCATGTGTATTCCGAATAAGGCAGCATCAGTTGCAGAATAAATAAATTAATATAACTGATAAGAATCAGCAAAGCTTACATGCCATAATGACATTCTGGTTTGATAGTATCAAGAAGATAAAACAACAATAAATTTTGGTCAGCTGGTTAGTACATAAAGAAATGAAGACAATTTGGTGTGTTACAGTGAGTGCATTATTAAATCATGACACTGGTTGGTGTTATAGGCTGAATACTTTGAGGAATAAAAAAAAATTTAATTCATACCAATTTCATTGTAAAAAATCAAATGATTAAAAGTAAGTCAAACAAATTAAGGGAAAAAAATGCAGCCATAGTACTCTTGATTAACATTAGCTATGGTTAAAGTGCAGAGCACCTATGCTCTATGCCTTTCACTTTCGGATACTCCACGACTTTTACTTCCAGTAGAATTTCTTGGGTTTATAAAATCCTAAGACCTCTCGTCCTAGGCATGAAAAGAACAGGTCTTAATGGTCTGACACATATTACAGATAGAGAGCTTAATTCCCTCACCAAAGGTGCCCGAAGAATTTCACTCTTTTACTAGAGTTTTTGTAAGAAAACATTTTGAAAGATCAATAATTCTGTAAAATGTTTGATGTATTTTGCTTATCAGTAGGTTATCCATGCACTCTATGTAATATGTAAATATATGTATAATTAATCTAACTATAAATGTTATTTATTTTAGTGTAATTACGGAAGATGTTCAAGTCTTGATAATGCATACTAATATTGAAAATTAATCACACGTTTGACTAGAAATGTAATTGTCTCTTTACCTATTTCATATTTTTCAGTAAGGTTACTGTTCTTCACTTGTACATATATATGGTAAATGTATCAGCTTTACGACTGATTGGGACTGAGTCTGGTTTCTCATCATTCTGGTTGTAAAGATAAACAAGGGATGAGGACTATAAAGTCACCAGAAGTCTGTAGAATTACAGCCCCTTACCCTGTACAAGCTGGTGCTAGTTGTGATTTTAAAGTATTCAGGGTAATAAGATAGCAGAAGATATTCAGGAACGGTGTATACATTATCTTTCATGGTTTTTACATTATAGGTTGTCACAGCACTTGCCCAGATTCCAGCATTATTAAACCATGCTAGAAACTTCAGTTTAACCAAGACTCTCAGCACGACTTCACACATACCACTACCCAACAGAAAGGACAGACCTCACTATAACAGACATGCTGCAAAACATAAAGCACAGACTATGGAAGAGCTTATTGTAAGTATTGGACTGACTTAACCAAAAAAATCATCATGTAACAGTAATAAATGTTGAGACAAAAACATTAATGGTATGTGATGGCAATAGAGAAAGACCATTGAAAAAGGACATCCCACAGGGGTATGTTGTGAGACCATTAAACCAATTGATCATTAAAATACTACCCCAATTCTGGATTTTTAAGGCTAGTTTGATATTATACGAGGATAAATATTTACGGCATACTTTCAACTCCAGGATTTATGAGCATTAGTAGCTTTTTACTATATATTACAAGATAAGATTTGGTTGTACATTCTCAATTCCAGGAATGCTTGGATGCCAAAGATGTTCAGATTATTTCACAAACAGTGAAAAAAGCAGAACTTCTCAATGTGTATCAGAACAATCCACTGAGGAGCAGCATGCTTGGATTATCTAACTCTCATATTTCTGCACCTACGTTTTTTGAAAATAAAACAGGTAAGTTGATATTCATAGAAACATTTATTTATTTTTATCACATGCACACAGTCAAGACTTTACCTGTATAGTGTGTTATGATTAACAATCACATAACTACATGTATCATACAGTGAATACAAATATGCTAATAAAATTTTAGAAGCCTCCAGTGCTTTTCTAGGTGTATTGTTATTTAATGAGGAATACTCTTATATGTATCATTTTTAACATGCAATTTCACTGGGTTCAAAATTCAGATTATTTGTTTATAGATACAAAATTTGAACTTCAGATTTGATGACATTATACACAGAGAACTGCTTCACTGTTGCTTTCAAGAATAAGAAAGATGTTGTTAACATTATGGAGCTAAAGAACTGCTTCACTGTTTTCAAGCATAAGAAAGATCGCATTGATCTTCTGTGGCTAAATCTAAGAAATATTGAACCTGAAGCCAGCCTTCCGTATAGGGTTAGCTTATGGACTTGGGGGGAAAACCAAGAATTTATTAGGGATTGGCGTTTGTTTAAGGAAGCAATAGAAGTGATCAATGAAATGAGTAATGGATGTTTGTTATTAAGGTGCCATCCCCACTTCTTAAGATAGCTGGTCTTTAAATTCTGATTCATTTGTCCCATGTATTTACACAAAGCAAACAGTGTTGATTTTAATCAGTATGCACTGTGCAAGAAAGAAGCTATGCCTCCAAATACGGTTTCAATATCAAAAACATGTTTTGATATTGTTGTATGTAAACTAGCTAGAAGCATTATTTTAATTATTAAGTATGTCAATATATAATAAGTAGACCTAACAATTAGTAAGAATAAACCTTAATCAAATTTCTCTCGGTCCATTTGCATATTACTTTTCCTCAAATAGATTCAACATCAGACTTCTTAACCAAAGGAAAACATAAAAGACAAGTCACAGCAGGGCTCTCGATCTGCCAGGTTTGGGGCCGATATTCCCAATGCAAAATAGTATCTTTTTCCCAATTTAGACCCCAAGTTTTCCCAATTCTTAGAAAAACGCCGCTATTTTTCCAAATTCTAAGGGCCCCGGGCCCCGGACCCCAGTCCCAAAATATAGGGTGTGAGAGCCCAGCACAGGATCATAAACATAGTCATCTATCTAGTGATGTCTGACTTCATGCATTCTACAAAATCACAGTTGAATGACAAACATTTTATTGTGTATATGTTTATATCATGCAAATGTCTTACAGTATAAATCATTTGGAATGTAGAATGTGGAACAACTATATAGAGCTAGTTTGCACTTATGTTTCATTGAGTCAGTAAATATGCTTAGTGATGGTCCAAAAATAATTTGAATTCCGTTTAAAGAAAAACGAATGGAATGAATTCTGAAATTGAAAAAGAAGTCTATAGTTTAAGTACAACTTAACAAGATATTTATCCTGTATGTTAAAAAAAAATAATTTAAGAGGAGTCATGTACCAATTTTGTTTTAATACAGGTTTCCCAGAATCATTATTGAGGTCACCATTTCCAGGACAGATGCATCTTCAACACCTTATATGTTCTTCTCGGACCAATATTAGTAAGTGTTGTAGCTTTACCAGTAACCCGATAAGCAAGTGTTGTAGCTTTACCAGTAACCCTATAAGCCAGTGTTGTAGCTTTACCAGTAACCCTATAAGCCAGTGTTGTAGCTTTACCAGTAACCCTATAAGCCAGTGTTGTAGCTTTACCAGTAACCCTATAAGCCAGTGTTGTAGCTTTACCAGTAACCCTGTAAGCAAGTGTTGTAGCTCTACCAGTAACCCTATAAGCCAGTGTTGTAGCTTTACCAGTAACCCTGTAAGCAAGTGTTGTAGCTCTACCAGTAACCCTATAAGCCAGTGTTGTAGCTTTACCAGTAACCCTGTAAGCAAGTGTTGTAGCTCTACCAGTAACCCTATAAGCCGGTGTTGTAGCTTTACCAGTAACCCTATAAGCCAGTGTTGTAGCTTTACCAGTAACCCTATAAGCCGGTGTTGTAGCTTTACCAGTAACCCTATAAGCAAGTGTTATAGCTCTACCAGTAACCCTATAAGCCGGTGTTGTAGCTCTACCAGTAACCCTATAAGCAAGTGTTGTAGCTTTACCAGTAACCCTATAAGCAAGTGTTGTAGTTTTACCAGTAACCCTATAAGCAAGTGTTGTAGCTTTACCAGTAACCCTATAAGCAAGTGTTGTAGATCTTCCCAGAACAGTATAAGTAAGTGTTTTCAATCTACCAGGAACCATACATGTATTAGTAAGTAATGAAGCTGTACCAGTATCAGTTTCAGTAAGTGTTGTAGATCTACCAGGAACAGTATCAGTAAGCGTTGTAGCTCTACCAGGAACAGTATCATTAAGTGTTGTAGCTCTACCAGGAACAGTATCATTAAGTGTTATAGCTCTACCAGGAACAGTATCATTAAGTGTTATAGCTCTACCAGGAACAGTATCAGTAAGTGTCGTAGATCTACCAGGAACAGTATCATTAAGTGTTGTAGCTCTACCAGGAACAGTATCATTAAGTGTTATAGCTCTACCAGGAAAAGTATTAGTCCAGTTTTCTCTAACAGTAATTAAGGCCTTTTGTGCACTTCAATCTTGGCCAACAAAAGTGATTAGTATAAGTTGAAATAACATTTCTCACAATAGTTGTAAGATAAGTTTAAATTTTATTTCTGGTATGCTGTTAGAGCTTTAAGACATTGGCCATATTTTTGAGATTAATATAAGTTATTGCTGTCTCATCATTTACATATAAATGTCTAGATACACCTCTATTTGTTGGTTACAGTGTTTGAACAAAGGAGAGGATTTGAATCAAAGAAGAGAAGAAAAGAAGCTGCAGAGGAAGCAAATTCAAAGGTATCAATTACTTCATGGTTGATTGATTTTTGGTGGTAAAAAATGTGTTTTCTATTCTATTCATACCATCAATGAAATTCAGTAACACAAGTGAGGTCGATTTTATTGAGTCAAATCTTCCAAATAAGTGTCATTGAGGGGCCAAATTGATTCACATGTAAAGACTCTTTATGGCAGTTGTAAGGTACATCATATTTGCTCAATATGCTAGTACATTCCTTTAATTACATCTGTGGAATATATCATAATAAGATTTCAAAACCTCAAACCACAATTAGTATATTATTGTGCTTAATGAAACTATTTTATCATTATAAAGTTGAGTGTGCTTAACTGATTTTATCACAACCAAGTATGTAGCTGAAAGTGTTTGATAATTTTCAGGAGACTGTAAAAGACGAGATGAAGGATGCATCTAAAAAGTCTGTTCAACTACTTACACGGATTTTCCTTATAGGATTATTGGTATTTCTTATCATACGTAAGTATGATTTTCCAGACTATGATCAACAGAAATCATTTTTGATTTCTTAGCCCATTATTGTCAAATCACAAATATATATAGCATCTATCTTGCCTGGAGCTCTCATTTTGAAAGTTATATTCTTTTTGTGAAATAGTTTTTGAGGTCATATTCTTTTTGTGAAATAGTTTTTGAGGTCGTGCTTGTTAGGTATTTTAGTGTAAATGCTACCACATACACTGTTTTGTTGTCTCATCTTATCCAGTTGTCCAGGATAACCTATAGTCATTGCGTTTTGTCTATTGTTGTGTGCCCTGACTGTGTATAAGACTTCTTGCATTTAAAATTTCTCAAGCTCCATCTGTAGGATTCAGCTCAGACTTGTTTGAAATGTTCCTCTGTGCTGTTTTTCCAGTTTGTACAATATGGCCATCATGACCAAAGTGTTGAATAAGATATTTCAAAGTTTTTATCAAGTTCCATTAATGTCATTGAACTTTAAATTTATGGGATGTTAAGGAAAGGAAGTAAAAAATGTTTTTCATTTTTTTACCTCGTCAGAAGTTTCACATGGTAGTCATTTCATAACATGATCACACAATCATGTTTTTTGAACAACTCCTGTTTCAAAATTCTTTCCATTTTCCACCTGTGGGATTCAGCTTACACTTCCCTGAAAATCTCATGACCTAGAATTGGTTATTTTTGGGTCAATCCAAAATCCATTTTGGCTGCCAAAATTTGTTGAATTGTCGAGAAACTGAAATAAAGAGAATTGTTTCTGTTGCCTTTACTACATATATGGAATGGTTTTAATCATTTAATGTTTTTATAGTCGGATGACTTTTAAGGCCCATGGGCCTCTTGTTCATCAGAAACCCCAATAGGTATGTATAAAAAAACCTATGTTTGATTTATTGAAAACATTGTGTTATTTGACTGTGTTGTATTATTATGTAACCCATTACAACAGCCTTGTTTTATATATGTGTTTGTAGGATACCTATCTGGACCAGGATTGATGCTGTTTGATTTTGAAATAAAGCCTACTAGGTCAAACACATGCTTTGATGATGTACAGGGGGTATGTAAAAAATCAAACTCTAACTAAACTCCTGTTAAAAAATGGACTTTTGTTAATGCTATAGTATGATTGATAGCTAAAGTCAAGGTCACTCTCTATTACTATAAATAGAATATTTCTATCATTACACGAATCACTCAAAGATCAGAATAAATGGAGGATACAATAAACATTGGTGACAAGATGATGAAAGATTTATTGAAACTGTTTTTATACACAAGGATAGCTTTAACTCACTTTGTCTGAAATGGTTGGAACAGAATTTATAGAAATACAAGGGTTGAATGACAACAATGTTTTTAAAAGAAAAAAATAGATATTTTAGATATGTACGGATTTCTGACAGGCTGTATAACATACCTTACATGCCTAGTATATTATCATGGGTTACACTGTATTATATACAAATATTTGTTGTAGTGTTATGAAGCAAAACAGGAATTAATTGACATTGTCAACTTTCTGAAGAACCCCATCCGTTTCACTTCTGTCGGTGCAAAGCTTCCAAAAGGTCAGTAATATATTATCAGGAAAATATCTTAATTTTCTAAAAGGGATTAATTGGTTCCTATGCTCCTGCTCACTTGAGCTCTTCTTAAATCATACACAGATAAATATGAAGGAGAATTTCAGAATATCTCTTTGTAATCGATTGTATGACTGTTTAGAAAACATATTTCCGACTTCGGTTTGACGTGGTTGTCACATTTGTTTAGGTCATTAATATACTTGATACACAAATACACACTTCGTTACAGAAAGGAATTATATCAGAGTTGATACCTTTATTTCAATGATATTTTGTCAGGTGTATTGTTATCTGGACCTCCAGGAGTTGGGAAGACTCTGCTGGCCAGGGCTGTAGCTGGTAAGATTAAGGCAGAAGAAGTAAATTATGTTTTTCTGTCATCCTTGTGTCTTCATTACTGATCTTTTGACACTTCTTTATATTGCTTCACAATGTCCTTGCTTTGATTGTCATAGTATTTGGAAACTGATTTAATTTTGACTGAAATCTAAAAATTATCTGTTTTTTGTAAATGATAAATACAAAATATAACATGTCTCATTGAGAACTGTTAATCAATGTGGTTGATAAATCACATTGAGAACTGTTTATCAATTTGGTTGATAAAAAAATCCATCCTAAAACTTAACACTTTTTCACTATGGAAAAAGAGTACAACTTTGAATGCAGTATAGCAGATATTTTTTAGGTCAAACATGGTGTGTTCATCCCTTTTATGTTTTGCTCGTTTCTGAATCCTAATGATGTTAGATTCTATTGAAAACAGCATTTGGTCACAGTGTGAAAACAAAGCCTTGCTTCATAGAGATGTTTATTTGTTATAGGAGGCATATAACCATTGATTTTCGTTTCTTTAACAGGAGAAGCTAACGTTCCATTTTTCCAAGTGACAGGCTCAGAATTTGATGAAATGTTTGTAGGCACAGGGGCTAAGAAAGTCCGCACTCTTTTCAGTAAGTTATTTGTTCTCAGATGTCAAATGCAAGGACACTTTCCTTCATTTTATGTAATTTCATTTTAACAGTTTTTTTATATTACATTTAGCTCACATGAACAAGTTGATATGGGTTTAAGAGATGGCACTAATTTTGTTTCAATTAATTGTTCAGCTTAGTAACCAAACTCACATTGTTGATATTTCAGCTTCAAAGAATGCTACTTTTAGACTACAGCAATGTTAGTCAAAATCAAGTAATAAGCCAGCTGACCAACTGGGTCAAATGTAAGGTCTTCCAAGGAAAAGGCCAATTTGTTTGTCAGTTAACTTGTGGATATTTTTTAGCTCACCTGTTTAAAGAGTAGTGGGGCTGATGTAGTCACCATGGCATTTGCAATACTCTTGTTAAGATATGTATTTGAAGTGTTTAAGATCAGAAACTTCAATTGCAATATCTTAATTATTAGTGTTTATGTTGCATAAGGCATAACAGTGAGTTTAACTTCAGCTTAGACTACTTTCAGTGGTTTTTTTTGGGTTTTTTTGTTTTTTTTTGTTTTTTTTTGTGGGGTGGGGGGGGGGGAGGACCTCTTAGTTTTACAGGCATTTCTTTCTGCTGGAGACTTTCCTAACTTGTCATGAACTTTCTAGGGAACAATGTTATTGATGAAAAAATTTCATTTGCAGAAACTGCTAAGAGTGTTGCACCCTGTGTAGTCTTCATCGATGAGCTTGATAGTGTTGGTAGTAAAAGGGCTAATACCGGAATGCATCCCTATGCTAATCAGACTATAAATCAGCTGCTTGCAGAGATGGATGGGTAAGAGACAAACAATTTAATGAAACCTTTTCAAAAATTTATTACAAAACTTTACCCTTGATTAACTTCTGTAGGGTTTAAGGTAAAGTATTTTATGTTACATCGTTCTGTTATGTGGCCTATTCTGTCAGTGTGGTAATAATTATATATCTAAAACCTTAATATCTTGTGGTTTCATCTATAAAGTCATTGTTTTAAGAGTCTGTATGTCCATTCCAGGGTTCCACCAAGTGTTGGATATTCAAGTATGGGTGTTGATTTCTTTGTTGCACTTTGAAGATAGCAAACCACTTTTTTACCCTTCCAATTTTCACTGACAATTCTTGTCTACTTGAAAACTTATAACCAAAGAGGTCATATAATTATCAACTCTCATGTTAGTTTAGTCCCTGAAAGAATATGGTATATTATCCAGCAGAGAGTGTAGGTCTCAGATATCTTTACACCTACAGTATTTTCATGGTTATAAGCCGAACAGATATATAAGCTGCTAAGCGAATTTTTATCAGTTTTTTTAAGATTTGATCCACATATTAGCGGCACTTGAGTGTAAGCCCCACCCATTCTTACGATGTGGTAACCCTTATGTTGATATAACAGACAATAGAGGGCAATTTATCAAGATGGTCAATGAAACAATATAAGTTTGCAAATAAATTATACACAGACAATTCTTTATTTTCTTGATGAGTTTCAAGAATGTAAAATAGCAATTATCTAAGTCGTTTGGTTTGGGAGCCTTCAAAGATTGTCTACGCACAGATATATGGCCTGATGTTACATATAGTTTACTAACAATATCTCCATTTGTGTCTTTACTGTTAAATATTAGCAAAGGTCTTTACTTGCTGACAAAATTCTTGTAGTCCCATATTGCTTTTTGTAAGTTACACAAAGCCATTTTTATTGTAAACAAACAAGGCGGTTGTTCTAGAATTTGATCCATAACCTGAGGCTATTGAAAATTTCCCCTATGACTTCTGAAGCAACCACGAAATTTCAGAAGATATTATTGATTCACATGAAAAGAAATTATTAATGTTATTTTTATTTCAATCTTAAAATCATCACAAACATGTGATGGACAGATACTTGTAAAAACTTGATACCATCTCATACTTATTATCTGCCTTCTCCGCATAGCCTGGCGCTGGAAGCGCTTTATAATAACAACTGCATGGCTATCTTGAAGATAGCCCAGTCCGAGTTTGGATAAAAAATTCTGAGTGATGTGTGCATATTAAAAAATAAATCATGGCTGGCTGTGAAGAAAAATCATTTGTGAATTAACGACAGGTTGGCCTGTAGCATGAATATTTCGCCTTTTTGAGAAAAAACAGGGATTCCTCCAAGGGGGTAGGCAGTGACCTAGATCATACACTTGAGAAGTTGTTGACCGTTAAGTTTTGATAAGGCTGTTGTTTGGTTTGTTATTTTTAAGTGCTAATGAAATTTGAGTCTATATATACTTGTGGTACTGGTGTACTAGTACACTTCATTTTTTTTTTTTTTTTTTCTTCAATCTGCCAATTTTATTCATCCACATATAAGCCGCACTGGTATATATGCCATCTGCCAAGGAATAAAGCTGCAGCTTACAATCTGGAAAATACAGTTTATCAAAATGGAAACATTCAGCTTGAAAAAATATTGTTTCATATAAATTACAAAAATTGTAGTGAAAGTTGATAGTGCATGTGTAAATATGACACTTCATACTCAGGTTGATTGAGGGGGTCATAGGTATGATCAGGATATAATAATTTTTTTTTATTTTGATCCCCAACATTTTTTTTCAATACAGATTTCAGCCCAATAGTGGAGTAATAGTGATTGGAGCTACAAACAGAAGCCAACATTTGGACAGGTAAGAGGGACAAAGATTTGAGAGTTATCTCCCTTTATCATAATACAGGACAAGTGTAGATATAAGCGCTTGGTTTTGATCAAGGCCATTTCTTTCAGTCCTAGAAAAAGTGTTGTTAAATATAATTCAGAGTCAAAGGAGTCAAGCTTTTTTAATGCCAAATTTCTTCGTAAACCAATAAAAACCTTAGGTTTTTGGCATGTGGTCAGTAGCTTTCTGTGGATACATGTAGAAATGAATTCAAGCTGTCCGTGAATAGGAGTAGATATTAATTCATTATGACATAGGTTTGATTTGTCAAAATCACTTGAATAATGTAATAATGTTGAAATAAAGTAGTAGAGGTCATAGATCAATTTGCTATTGGGTCTTTGAACTGAAGTGTTATAAAATTTGAAAACAAAAATATGTTAAGTTTTTAGTGTAAGAGATGTTCTTTGATAAACATTGTATCAGGTGAAAGTACGGGCCTATTTTACCTCATATTTACAATATTTTGATTTACAATGTCTAGGTCATAAGGTACCTTCACTGTGAAAAGCAGGGTTTTCCATAATTTTGTTAGTAGTAGGCTGTGTAGTGAAAGTAGGAGGCTGGCGAAGCTAGCCGACCCAAGCCGCAATGCGGCGAGGTGGGGGTGGCCTGCCGTGTATGTGTAGTCGTGTACGGAACATTAATACGGAACTGGATTGTTGTAGGCAGCCAAATGATCAAAGTAGCCAGTCAAATTGGCCGGCGACCGGCTCTTATGGAAAACCCTGGAAAAGAAATCAAAAGTTTGAACAACAGTATGTGAATATACATATCGTTTTGGAAAATTTCATTTATGCGATGAATACTTTTCTTGTTTCAGTGCCATTGTACGTGCAGGTCGCTTTGATGTGGAAATAAAAGTTCGTGTACCTCCTTTGAGAGAAAGGAGAGAGTTATTTGAATACTTTCTGAACAAACCAAATATAACGCTGCATCAAGGTAAGGCAATGGCTGAAGGCATCATTGTTGTAGTACTGAATCATTATGTTGTCACAGAAGTGGTTTACGCACAAAGTGTGAAGCAAAATATTCTGGTACTGAAAGTTTCCTCACTGTGGATGGGGAAGGAAACAGGTAGTTTTATGAGTACACTGATTGCTTGGTGTCATATTGGACTTTAAATTTCTATATCAGGACTTGGTTATTGGTAGCATGAATTAATGTTCCGTCAATTTCAGTTTATTTGCAATATGTTTTTATCCCTCATTCGCCATCAGATGGTGGATTGTAAATCGCTCTCCATCCGTGTTCCATCCACCTTTCTTGTTAATACTATTTCTTGAGAGAAGTTCTTGATGAATCATTCCCATATTTCAGATGTAGGTTCCCCCATGGTCCCACATATATGTCCCTAATTATTTTTCCTTTCTTTTTATATAATGATAATTGGAAAAACGAATGGCTGACATGGGGCAATCTTGGATTTTAACAATTATACTACATTATTGGTTTTCTTTGGAAGTGTTTGATGGATCATTCTCACATTTAAGATATGTAGGTTTCCCTTAGTCCCTAAGTTTTGTATATTTTATATGGGGACAAATCACAAAGAACAGAAAAGATGGGAAAAGATTCAACTGGTTCAAAGAACAGATGAAGTTGATGCAATGGTGGGTGCCAAGATTGCTTTGGGAACTCCCATTGTCTAATTTTTTATTGACTATGCCATAATTACACTTATGGTGTGGATGAGGTGGGTGTAATTTCTGATATTATTGTGGTGCAGTTTTTAATTTCATAAAATTTTCACTGTTATTTCAAAGCTGCCATGTCATTCTGACAGATTGGTAGAAATACCACTTGGTTTTATGCGGCGTAGCTTGTAATGTTGTTGTTGGGGTTTTACAGATGTGAACATCGATGATTTGGCCAGAACCAGTGTGGGGTTCACAGGTAAGTCATCAGTCTTTTGTTGGAAATCTTTATAGAAAAGTTATGTACCACTGAAGTGGATCCAGTCATCAACAAAAGATTCTGATCAATGTGACCACAATTAAATTTTATGTAATTGTTGAAAAGAATGTTCTAATGAACTATAGGCTTTTGTGGTTGTAAGAATTATGAAAGATGTAGTTCTGTTTTAGAAATCAAAAATGCCTGCTTGTTAGATATTCTTTCATAAATGAAGGAAATTTGTTGTGGTTTTGATGATTGTTTTGCCATGATTGTATTTTTCTGTTGCCTTGTTTTTCTGTAGGAGCTGATATAGAAAACATGGTCAATCAGGCAGCTCTCCACTGTGCTCTCCGCAACAGTAACGTCATCTGCCAACAGGACCTGGATTTTGCTAAGGACAAAGTAACAATGGGCAAGTTTGTCTCTCATTCAAAGAACTTGTACCAATTTTCAGCCCACCATCATCAGATGGAGGGCTGTTTAGCTCACCTTTCATTTGTGGTCTGTCGTGTGTCTGTCCTTTAACAGGTATTGGAGGGATCTGTCTCAAATCTTGTATGTAGATTCTCCTTGGTTCCTAGTTTTGCATGTTCAACTTGGTATTGATTGCAAAAACATAACAACCAACAGGCAACCATATTGTATTCTTTAGGTTGAAGTTTGTTATTTGTGTTTCTTGAGAAATATTTAATGCATCTTTATCAAATCAGTCATTATTGGGAAAGCAGAGGAAAGAAAAGAAATTAAGCTTCAATAAAGATCCTATAATGATAGATGCAAAGATCTCTTTAAGATCTTTTTTTATTGAGTGAAATGAAATGATTTTACATCTATTCTTATTATTACAACCTAACCATTAATAAGTATTTACACATTTATAGTGTATTTAGAATGCCACTGTGTCTAACAAAAGATTTATTATACTAAAATTGTCCAAATATAGAGCTCCTGTAACAGGTGACCCAGCCGTCGGGGGTTTAAAAAAAACAACACAAAACAAAAAAAAAGCTTTTGTGCTAAGAATTTTTATTAAATTATTTGGTATTTACCAGTTTCAAAGTAAATAATATTAGACTTGGAAAAAAAATGAGTGAATAAAAATGAAATAAAACAAGAAAACAAAGTGGATGAGAAGTGTATTGACTGAATTTCAAACCCTCCAGCCACAATTGAGACCAGTGAAGTGGTTCCTTGTTTAAAACTAGAAAGCTAAGGCACGACGTATTTGTTGACTGTTTGCTCCACATAGCATAAACAGTTAAACTATGAGTAACTCATAAGTAGCATGCTCAAAAGGCAAAAGTAGCCAATAAGTTTCTGGAGTAGTGAACCACAGAGATAAATGTTTCTGAGTCGTTTAGAAGCTATACAATAATGACACTTTCAAATGCACAGATACTCTAGTGTTTACAAAGTGGCAGGCCTTGAGGTAATATATATCAGCAAGTAAGTCTTATATAATGTTGAAACGTTTCGTTATATCGATGAATCAGTCCATAATTAAACTACAACAAGTGTTCCTGAATGTTGTTAATCCTTCATTTTCTCAATATGTTGACCAAATTGTAAGGGGCTCTATAGAATATCTCTGATATCCATTCAGAACCTAGCCACAATCTTAGACATATAGAGTGTTGGTTCTTCAATATTGTTTACTCGTTTTATTAGACTATAATGACCAACCATTGGGTTAGTTAAAAGTTTCAATTTTTTATAGTTGTACATTTGAGTTCCCTTCCTGTCAAGTTTATAGTGTAAGATTTTCAAAGGTGAACACCAGGTAGTTTGGGGGACTTAGGTAAGGGGCGTTATAAAAAAAAATCCATTGTCATCAAAATGGAGGCTTCTGATTGGTAGAAATTTAGATATTGTCTCATTTTAGTGAAATTTGGTATGTGGGTGCATGACATGTGAAACATGATGGTGTTGTCAGTTTTCTGATAGGACCTGAATGACCAACCAGTGAATTTGTTAAAAGTTTCATGCTATAGCTGTACATCAGGGTTCCTTGACTGTGTCAAGTTTATTGTTAAAAAATTTTTTAAAGGTGTACATCCATTACCATTAATACTTTCTGGCGTTGACACAGTATTAAATAACAGCAGGATTGCTTGAAGTAAATACAAATTCTATGTTGTAAGTCTTGGGTAAAACATGATACATATTTCTTTATCTAAATTTGTATTTTTCTTGTCAATACATGTTTAAAGAGCATTTCATCTGGCTGTGTTAAAGTGTTTTCTCTTATCTGTTACTCTGTAGATGATAATTTTGTAATTGTATTTACATACCCTCAGGTCCTGCTATGAAGCACAAAATACCAGATGAGAACACTAATCGTGTGACAGCATACCATGAAGCTGGCCATACTATTGTCAGTTTGTTCACACCGAATGCAGCACCCTTGTACAAAGTCACCATTCAGGCACGAGGCCAGACTTTGGGACATGTATGTAGTTGTAATCATACAAAATAACCAGAAGTATTTGTCGTATTAAGCATATTGACATTTATATTATGTGATTTTATTTGGTTAACATAGACTAAGATAAATGGTCCATCTTCTGTTATATGTTACATAGACTCAAATAAATCATCCTTTTTCTGTAATTTCATATGGTTTACATAGACTAAGATAGGTTATTCATCTTCTCTGACTTTGTATGGTTCAAATAGACTAACGAATTAAATCCAACTCTTGTTTTGTATAGTCTTACTTGTTAAGTAGAACAGAAATCACAAATGCTTGTACTATATATGTAATAGTGAGTCATGTTCTTTAAAATAGTATCATTTGATAGTGCTCAAGATACATTCAAACCTATAAAAAGCGTTATTTTAAGCTGGCTGTTATTAAAATCTTATTTATATCTCACCAAGAACAATAACCCTGATGAAACCTCGCCCTTAGAGGGGAAACAATTAGACCAAAAATAACCCACAAACTGGCTTAACTGGGGTATGTTGTAATTGAAACTATTTATATTCAACAATAACTCAGGTGAATCCTTCTGTATTCAGGATGTGAAACATAATTTAGCATAATGCTAATCTCCTGAACAATCCTCTTATTCAGTAACTGCTTTGATGAAATGTACAATGTTTAGAATCTGTTATTGCAGACTGCCTTCAGTTTGGATAAAGATGAATATAATGTTTCCAAGGCACAGCTGATGGCAAGGATGGATGTAGCTATGGGAGGTCGCGTAGCAGAAGAACTAGTGTTCGGATCAGACAAAGTCAGCACTGGTGTGTGAAGTATTTAGTCATATATTAACTAGTGATGTACAAATTTCAAGTTTCCATGGTTAAATACATTGTTTTTCGTTATAAGCATAAGATTGACATGCGTTGACATGTTAACATCATCTATTAATATTCCATCAAATGATTTCTATAGGTTTACACAGCCTTATTTCATAATTTGGTACACAGCTTCCTTTGATGAAAACTGCCAAATTAGTCACACACAAAAAAAAAGATTGAATAGATGTTAGCTTGTTAGTTTGTTAGTTTGGTGAAGGTTTTTTAGCATATGTTTAAACAGATGACTTTGACACACATGAACATTCAAGAGCAATGTTTGTGAAAGTGAGATGTATTCTTTTATTCAGATCTTGAAATTTCAAAATTTTTTCTAAAGTACACTAATTTGACATGACAGAAATAAACTCTGAATGTAATATTTATTTGTAGGGTATTGTAAATAAATAATGATTTAGATAAAAAGAGTGAATTGATACTGGGTAAGACTGATTTCACAATAGTAGACAAACTGACAAACAATCTTAGACATATGAGAAAACCACTCCACAATGAACAGTTTAATCAGAATTCCACAAAGGTAATACATTCCAAGACAAAATAGTTTGCTAAAAAGGTTAAATTGAATCATGCCAGTTCCATGCATAGGTAGGTTAATTTGTTAACCAAGGGAATGCCCATCTCCAGCTCCAACCGAACTCGCTCATCTTAGGATTTATTCCAAGACCTCTATGATTTTTCACAATTTCTAAGAAATTTACAAGTTCGTAAATGAAATATCAACTGCTGTTCCCTTTTCTGTATGGAAACTTCCACAAAGCTGTCTTGTGTTATTCACACCAGTAATGAATTATATATCCATTTACATACATTCAAGTGATCCAAAGAAAACTTTCACAAATAATTCTACTGAGTATTTGGTACTTATTTACATAGCAATACCATAAGCATTTAATTCTCAACATTCATTGTAAAATAATTAATGAAAAAAAAAGTCCCCTTCCTGCCTCTTCATATTGAACACCTATTAGTTGAGCTAAGGCTAACCCATAATAAAAACTTCTTCAATTTTCGTATTTCATTGGAGGTGATCTTTAACCCAAAGTGACATTTTTATATAAATCCAGATGAGAAAAATCATAAGTTGGAGAAATTCTCCAAGAGCCAATGTTTTACAACGTTCATATTTGTTGTGGTTAATCTGCTAGATAAGAATAATAGAGTAAAAGGGGCGGACACTGAAGCCAAGTTTCAAAAGACTATATTCTTTCTTCTACAGCTGGTTGCAGACATGTTTCAGCCTTTTTTTTTATTTACACATTGTCACATATGTCCATGATTCTCTCATAATCTGGGCCACTCCGGTCATTATGCCTCTGCCATAAAAAAAGAATGCTTTAAAAGCTGCCTTGTCTATATAAAGGCTTACTTCTTATTTAAGGGTGTATGGACAGTTTAAAAGTATGAAAGCTATTTTCCTCTACAAAACATTGAGGGTTGTTATAGCTTCTGGATGGTCTTGATCTATTTTTAAAATGTATTATTATTCCTAGTTGAATAAATGTATTCAAGAATCCTATACCTTTTTCAACACACAGTAAGATCTGGTAATAGAAATGCTCAATCATGACGTTGACTGTATCTTTCAATATGTATTGTGTTTGCCTCAAACAATATATATTAAATGATTATCATGTATATAATCTACTGTATACTTTTTTACACAGTTATATAGATACTAAAGTAAGTCTTTATCTGGGATGTTTAAGGATTAAAAACAATGAATTAATAAATAGATCTGATTTTGTGATGGAAACAAATGCTACTATTGGTGAAGCATTGACCTACGTAACCTCAGAAAAAGATCCGAGATGCACGGTTTGATGCTCTCTACTCATAGCATTCTGTATTTCTCAGGGATTTGAGAATTGGACCGATCTGTGTTTTCCTGGTTGTGTCCTTGGACAAGATATTTTATCCTAATTGTTGCAGATAAGAGTTGACAGGCCTCTTGTATAAGTGTATTGTTCTGGTATAGTAGCCACCAAATAAAGAGACTCCCCAACATTAAAAACATACAATAATTAGTAACCAAGGGTAATCAAGTGCACACATCTGCAAAGGAATCCATTGTAGTAATCTCAGCTATCATAGATTCAGTAAACCTTTTTCTCCCAAATCAAATATCTACATATATTTATGAAAATTGTCATAGAAAAACACATAAAACAATTTTAGCTTTAGTTAGAAAGTGGTCTTTTGAAAATAATGCTTGGTTTAACTTTTCACATTTAAAAGGGGGTAGAAACCTACAGTCAGTTGTTGTTTCATAATTTTCACAGCTAAAGTTGCAAATAATACTTAAAACCATGACAAATGAGCATAGCTATGAAATCATTGAACATTGGAAAGCCAAAAATCAATATATAGAGGATATTCTGTGTTTCTTTATCTGATAAACATTATTCAGTATTTTCTTTTTTTAACGATTGCTCACATATAGCATCAGATATATTTTCATTGAAAAACCTTTTAATCTAATTCAGTACATAAAATGAAATTAAACTTTGTTTCGACAGGAGCGTCATCAGATTTCCAGATGGCCACAGCTACCGCCCAAGCCATGGTTACACAGTATGGGATGTCAGATAAGGTGGGTACAGAAAGGAGATTAAAGTGGAACATTTTCAGCTTGTCATCATACTCTCATTTATATCGATACATGTAGTAGTGTTGAGCTGAAAATTTTTAGCTTGTCATACTGTCACTGGCACTCAAAAGATTTGCCTGTCAATTAATACCACAAGGCTTTCAATCTGTACTGTTTGAACTTTTAAAAATTGATAGGATGACATTTCTGCAGGACACAATAAAACACAACATCATTATGACGAGGAGCAAAGTTATACTAAAATACAGAACTTCATTATTCTGAAATACAGAACTGTTAAAGATTGTTCTAAAGCAAGTAATCTTGTCCATGTAGAGAGTTATCAGTGTGGTGGTTATTAGGTTGTGTCTTGTATTCAATGTGGCATCAAACTGACAAATATTGATCTAGTGACAGAAATCTCAAGGTTGAGAAAAAACGAAACTAATAAACAGCTGATATGCATCTCATAATAGATATTGTGCATGCTCATCAGTAGTGCATTTCCCTACAAGTGTTTGATTACATCTTAAGATCTTATCATAAGGACAAACTCAGTCTATTTGAGGACTATTTTTTGAGACTTAACTTACTTTTCATCCAATGGTAAGAAGCAGTTAGGTAAGGTTTTTCAGAAAGCTAAAGCACTACAACAACCAAACCTGGTGGATGAATATGATAGTGTGTCAAAGTCAGGAAAAACAATAGAAATTTGGATCCAATTTTCCAGGTGAATAAACTTGAATCCTCTGAGAATCACTGATTGTCCCTTCAATTATTTACAGATTCTGCAGAGATAGTTGACAGTGTCTTCAATCTCTGGCTTTAAATATGTTATGATATTATTGCATATAGAAATCATAAACAAATTATATTCACTTCCTGTGTTTTTGATGTCTACTTTCAGATTGGCATTCATGTATTTTCTGAAAATGACAAGCCTTCCGGGGCCATGCAGGACCTTATAGACCAGGAGGTACAACGTCTACTCAATGTAAGAACTTTTACTTTGAATTTTATCCATCTCACTGTTCACTAATCTTAACTTTGGAAATGTTTGTTGGGAAAGGTTATATTTTACGATACATTATACATGTATCAGAGGTATTGGACCATCCAATATTTTGGAATCCTAGGAAGCAGAAGCTCAGATCAACTTAATCACGTACTATCTAACTTTTTTAAAGCTGTTTGTTAACAATTTCTTTTAATTCAAAAGTATTTCTAAATCAGCTGGAAGGATATTTAGGGATAAGTTATCAAAAAAAAAAAAAAAACACAAACAAACAAATAAGAAACTACTAGGCATGGATAACACTAGTACAATGTTGCATTGAAAATATTAATTGATAAATTGACATGGTTGGTGAGGTCCCAGATGAAAAATTTGAACTGTCCTGGTTTGTTCCTAAGGACTGGTTTGTGCCATCTCAATTCAGTCCAATATGTCAGTATATGTATTTCCTCAAATATATTAGTTGAATGACCGGATTCTAGCTAAATTTGGTCGCTAGTATATTTCATTTTCTTTGGTAGTTCATGGATGGCTCTGACTTAACAAAAAATTTTGAAAGACTCTTAAAAAACCTACTTGGAAGTTTGTATGATGTTACTTTTTAAAGAAGATTTGCTTCTGATTAATTCAACATTATCACAGAAGAAGCAGAACCATTTCTGATCAGAAAACATATATCCTTATTAAACCAAAGTTACAAAAGATGTTGTATATTGTCAAAAAAGATGTTTACTTGGCTATTGTACAATGGAAATAATGATAAATGATGTTAATATTATGGATTCTGTTAATTTTATGTGATCTGCTTTCATAGGAGTCCTATGCACGGGCTGTGGATTTGTTGAAAAAGCACAGAGATGAACTTAATCGATTAGCAGCTGCTCTACTAAAGTATGAAATACTGAGCAAAGAGGATGTGCAGGCAGTGATTGCAGGGAAAAAACCAAAGCCTCCTATGCCCAGCCCTCAGATTATTGTGGACAAAATCATCTTCCCCGATAAACCAGGCCAGAATAACTTATGAAACCAGAATTTTTATTAGCGAGTTTCTTAAAGGACAATGACACAATGCTTATTAAAATGTTAGTATTACCATAAGCATGCCTAGTCAAGTATAAGTCATGTGTTGGTTTGTAATACAAATCATTGTGTACTTTATATAACACAATGAAATGATGCCATCATTGTCCCAAAGAATATTTGAATCAATTCATTGATGGGGCATTTGTTTTGCTGGTTTTTTATTTTGTTTTTGTGCTTTTTAAAGGTTAAATACAAAAGAAAATAAGGAAAATTAAACCTTGCATGGATGAGGGGGGAATTTGAAAATAAGCTGGTACAAATCTGACTGTAGCTATTTCAGTGGCTTTATATTTAAGTCTATAGAATATTTGTACTGTTGTAGCCAATGATCTTGTCACATATTGAAGAAAGCGAGTGGAAAACAAGGACTATAACAAATGTTTTTTTCAATGAAACTATTGATATGATTGTGATATATAATACTAAAATGAACCGGTGCAAAATGTATGCACCATTGAAAGTTACGTCAGATCTGTGAACCTCTGTAACTTGTTTGTTGTTTGCAAATGTAATATATATACCTGGTATATACCAAGTAAGTCTTCAAAATGTTTCTAATCAAGCTGTAAATAAGGGGAAAGAAAAATAGACAATAGTGTGTTCTGTACTGAAACAAAATCATCTTATGGGTTTTTTTTATCGTCCTGAATGAATTTTATTGAACGATTCTTCATTATATGTCCTTTTTTTAAAGTTGATTTTCTTGTTATAACTTGTTTTTAGTTTTCGTGGTCCAATGGATCAGTGGCATAACATTTAGTCTGCAGGACACAAGACCCTATGAAGGAACTTGTGTTCTTTGTGCCTGGTTTCTTACTATCTGATGGGGTTCATAAGATGTATATTTTAAAAGTATATATTTTGTGAATTTTGACCAAATAAGGCCTGAAACAAAATTTGATGAATAAAGGGGACTCAGTTTTACAAAGAGGGTCTAGCTCTCAGTGGGTAGGGACGAATATATTGGAAACAGGATTTTTTTTTTTTTTTTATCTTGTCCTTCCATTAAGATAAGGATTGTATGACAAATTTCTGTCAAAATGATCAAATTTTTGAAAGAAAGGGTTCAACAAGAGTCAGAATGTACAAAGACGGGTCTGTAACCTTCTTCTCCTATGTGGATAAAGGGAACTTTGATCCAATTTGAATTGGTCCATCTTTTGTTGCAAGACTTGCTCATAGGTCAAACCTTAATTCTGTATCATTGTTGGAATATTTGAAATATTTCTGTAAAGGAGAATATTTTGTCATGATTGCTGAAGTGAATTTATTAAGATATGATATGATTATCATTAGGGTGGGTTTTTTTTTTTTTTTTCTTCTTTTTACTTTAAATACTTAAAATTATGTAAAAGTAATTGAAAACTTCATGATGGGATACTTTCATCATTTCACGTTTGGATACTTTTTTGTATTCGAGTGCTGTGTAAAGAAATTCACATTAAAGTCAGTGGAAGAGTGACTAGATGTTGCAATGACAAAAGTGGGATTTACAAATGCCCAGGCAAGGGGGATAATAACATAGGGACTGGCATGTAGAGTGAAAATAGGAATGTGGTATTGAACGAAAGGGTTTTTGGTTTAGAAAGGTATGGATAAAGTATTTTAAAGAGGTTTAGGATAAAAAGGTGGACACATCTGAGTAAAAGATGTTATATAGAATGTTACAGAATATACATGGTAGTTAGATAATGAGAACATTATTTCTCTTACTAATATCTGTGAGATCTGTGTGATGTGGAAGAAAAACTTCTGGCAGTGTGTGGAAATGGCAAGAATTGAGAGGATAACACTGTTTAAGGTTGAAGAATACAAACTAATTTTATTATTTTATCATGATTAAAATATTTCAAAGTAAAAACTGTGTTTGTCAATAATGATGTCCCTTCTTTGTAAGCAGTGTGGACATATTTTTAGTTAAGAAGATAAGTTTTTATAATACAACCAGCAGAAAATGTGTGATGTTTCAATGACTACACAGTCAATTTCATCAAAAAAATGATCATTGTGGAGTGTACTAGCATCGACGTACATAGTGTATGAGAGGGTAAGGGATCAACCAACTTTTTTGGCTGTATAAATGTGCTATGTACGCTAAGGTTGAAAATTGTGATGAGATGGTAAACAGGTTATAGACTAAATAATATAGTACATGGTAGAAAAGTACTGTTGACAATTCAGCTAGGCTTTGTTTAAAACTTGGTCACTGGTTGTATTTTGAAAAATTCTATTCCACTAACATTGCAAACCTGAAGAAAACGTTTTGAAATTATTTTCAGCTTGCTTGATTTAAAGGGCTGAAGTGCTAAAATATGACTACACTGTATTAACTGTCTTAAACGTTTTCATAGTCACTTCCAAATTACTCTGTTGTCGATTACTCTTCAGCTACAGGCAGTCTGAGGAAAGGTTAATGTTTCTTCCATTCTGTCCCCGATTGGATGTTACAAAGGACTGCTATTGGGACGAAATGCACATGGGCAATTAGATAATTGACTTCACCCTTTTTTCCATTCTCCAAGGTGAACTGTCATCAACACTGAGTCATTTGCACTTTGCTTGATCAAAGAAACATTATTTTGATGGTTCACAAAATCAAATATCAATTACCATTTGTGTCAAAAATCTGCAATGGTTATTTGGAAATTAAAAGGCAAATCAGCAATGTGATATTTTGAAAATATGACTGAATTCCTCTCTATTGACAAGTCTGTCAAAAGAACCAATGCCTCTTAGGGACCACAAGATTGAGCTTTGACCCTATCACATTCACATTCAAACTTGTCCAATTATTCAAATATACAAGTACATTTGTAATTTTCATCAAAATCTGTCAGTAATTTAAATATTTTAAACCTACAAATATCATGATACTTGGGACTGGAAGACCAGCTTAAAACATCTAATAGTTCCTTTCCATGCAGTCAATTTAGAGTGATGAAAAATAATCTGATAGACTAACAGACATGTATAAAATGCAGACTGAAACAGGGTTGTTATTACCACCTTACTCTATAACAAGACTAATATGATTCCATTTCAGAGACAAAAAACAAGACCAATTTTTATAAACTCCATTTTTATTTTAAAATAAGGTTGATGTAATATCAATATTTGATAACCATCATTTTGCTAAGACATCTATGCATTATTCAAAAGGTTGAAACACAAGTATGTATATGCTGGAGTTTGATATTGAAATGAAAGATGTGTTGGGTAGATATCAAGTACATCCTATCCAGAGGGAAAGCAAGATCATTGGGAACGGGACTAGACATCGGGAGGAGTCTTATCAAGTATATCACCATAGATATACAAAAACAATGTAATACGTATGTACTGAATTCAGACATATAAACAAAACAACTGGGTGACTATGCAATACTCTAATAAATGGTATTACCATTACACAACAAATCCTACATACTGCACATCATAAAATCATACAGAAGATATGGCTGTAACTCCTGACACACAGTGTTTAAACATGTAATGTGAAAGTCAATACATACAAATATATAAATACACATTTTATACATAAACACTCCTAATATACACTATTGTAATTCACTGTGTATTGCCTGGGACTCTTTTTGAAACTATCATCCAAACATTTTTTACATGATTAGGCCCGATCTTCGGGCTGTAAGAATTGGATTATTATCATTTTACAACATGAAGTACCGTAATATTTAAAAATAAAAGCATGTTTGATTTTCCATTACCAGTAGTTAAAATGGGAAGCTAGTGTACAACTATTTTTATACAACATGTCTCATATTCTGATGTAATATTTATAAGTGCTTTCATATCTTTCAACTTAAAAGCACATGGAAATATGATTGTGTGGAATATTTACTAAGATTTCTTTTTCTTTCTTTTTTTTTAATTTTTGTAACAAAATGGTCATTTTCCTCTTTGTCTAGCAGGCTAGTACTAAGCTATTGATTTTTAAGTATATTGAACAATATACACTAATGTATATATTTTGTACAGTAAATGTACATCTCATGTATTAAAATTATACTACTTTATTTACTACTTAACATATATACAAACACTCCAAACAGCATACCAAACCCATACTTCATACAACTTACCATACAAATTATACTGCATACAACATTCCATACATTCTCTATACATAACATATACTACCTTGCTGCTTCACTCTCCACTTAAAATACATACTACTGATAGATGCCATATATCGATATTCACCGGGATTCAAAAATATAGTCTTATTCTTGAAAACAACGCTGTGGTCCATAAATCTCACGACACATTTCAGACATATTTTTTTCAAAATTCAGCCAAACTGATTCCAAAGTTAAGTATTGATTTTTTAATTTATAGTTCACTTCTCTAATTATCACTACACTTTTAAAATCCATCTATAGTGTAAAAGGGCTATTATAGTCCATCAACGGAGTATGAAGTCTGCTAAAAAAAGAATGAAATCCACAAATGCAACATTTTTGCAATACTTATATGTTGGTTTTTCAGATATTTCCATTTTTTAATAAGGACAAAACTTTTCATGGTGTCAACCACACATAACATAAAAATATTGTGTCATGGTTTTTTTGGAGGGACATGTAAATATAATTCATTTGCAAACTTATGTTAATGTTTTATTATGGTATGTCATGTATGTGGATCAAATAGAAAAAAATTGCTAAATTCCAGCCCTGCGGCTAATCCTCGGGTGTGGTTTATAGTCCAGAAAATATGGTATCCTATTTATTTTTCTTTTAAATAACTTAGAATTATCACACAAAATCACTCAAGAGATCAACACTCATTTCAAAATTATTTAAGATGTAATGAAAACATTTATTGTACAGTTACACTCACTTTTCAAAAGTTGTTGAGAGAAGTACACAATAGACTAATGATAGTTATATATATGTCCATTTAATAAAGATAATTTAACATCTCTACCTAAATTTATACAAAGAGATTACTACATTATATACAGTACTGGCACACTAAATCAACATCACATAAGACCATGATGTTTTTATCAAGTTTGCTCAAGGGAAGCAGAATTGTGGGGAAATTGTACCGTAAATGTTTTAAATAAAAAATGTTTGTGAAACATGTTGTAGACATCTATAAATATAGTATTATAACAAATGAGTGTAGCTTAATTAATGACTGAGGCATCCTTATTTCAGGATGAAACCTGGAGTTAAAATAAGTTAAAAACCAACACACTGATGTGATGAATACATATAGATCAAAGATAGTTTTCAAGATGCATAATTACTGATGACTGATGTGGCTACAATAAACATGTGTGCTGTATGTCACTTGTACTGGTTATTTACATCTTATAACCAATGTAATATCACTAATACCAGTAATCTTTGTTATATAAGAACATGTAATACAACTAAGGAATATGTGACTTGCTGGAACTTTCCTTTCATAACATCATGTGTGTTTTGAGGTCACAGAAGGAATATGAGGTTAGAATGGAAGTATAGGCAAATGAGATTTTGTATCAGTCTAGCAAAATGCTCCTCATTTTACCTTGTCATAAATTAAATCTTGACACCACATCCTTAAATTATCAAACATTTAATTACTTAAATATCATTTTTTACGAAAACTAGTGACAACAGAGCAATGCTTATCAGGTAAGGTTTTACTAACCTTGGTGACATTAAGTCCCATCAACTGTTGACAAATTTTTAATAAAATTTCCATTACATAGTTAATACAATTATATTTATCACTCAGTGATGTAAAATAATGAATGGAAACACTGCTATATACAAATGTATGCTATTATTTTAAACAATATCTTCTAGTTTTCCTTTTTTGTTGTATCATATCAGAAATGCTAATACATGAAAACAAAGAAAAATGCTACAGTTCAGCTTTAAACAAAATTTGTTAGGTTATTTTTTAATGCATCATATTTTAATATTTTTAATCACTGCATTTTTCATGATGTCAAAATATGTGTTAATTTTCAACTAAAAATGAGTAAAAATAAACAATCCAAACAAACATAAAAAGTGGTAAAAAATATTCATGAATACATTTCATTACAATGACAAGCAACTGCACCCTCCATCTCTAGATCATAACACACTTCAAGCTGATAACATCTTTCTAATGGCAAAACAACTAAATTCCTGAATTAGCAAATGTCCATGGCTCAACTATGTACAAAGCAGATGTATGATTTTTAGGTCAGTTTCCACTTGAGCGACTACATGAAGACTCTGCCTCAAAATTACCCTGGCTTTTCGCTGGACCATACAATCCAGCAAAACAAACAAAACAAAATTGTAATTTTAAAAGGGCAATAACATTTGAGCATGTCAGGGATATACATAACCTACATCCCACGGATCTAGATTTACTAACTTGGAGTCAATTCAATTAGAAAGGAAATGCATATGTAAAATTAAAAATGATATTTTTCTTCTGTAACTTTACACGAACCGACACTATATATTATAGATGGAAGCCTATACTGTAGTTGAATTCAGCAGAATCTCAGTTTAAACGTGGATGTTTTAATTACCCTATGTGATATATACCAGAACAAAACATGACATATACAGCCAGATACACAAATGTTTACTTTACACAATTTCTATGCCAAATGACAGCAGTTCAATACACATAATGACTATCTATAAATATAGAATTTCACAGAAAATGAGTTTCAATTGCTTTCAACTCAAATTAAATTCCATGAATTTTAAATGCTTGTATACTGGTAAAAACCTGCCATTATTGATACCAAGTGGATTCTGTACCATACAGTGGCATTACCATATACTGATAAATATTAAGCCATGGACACTTGAATTCACAGGTCCCTGAAAAGTCACACTAGACATATAATTATATCTTCATGATCAGATAAATAAATTGTTAAGAACCCATATATGGACATAAGAAAAACCATGTGTTCCAAACATGAATCTAGCGATAAACTGCAAAAGCGAAATAACTTTGTTAACCCTGTCACACCTTTCAAAAGTCACCTGAAGGACCTCCATTACTGAACTACTGTACTTTTTTAGCATGAGTGGAGAAGCCTCGCGGATGGGAGTCGTGCCAGGGTTTGTTTGAGCTCCAATCAGATACTGATACATCAGACTGGTACATTCGAGATGCTGTCGTGTTATATACAGGTAAACACTCATTAGCATTGTCAGACATCACCTGTGAACAAAAAATTACACTTTTATTTCTCAGGTAAACACTTGTTCACATTATCAACCTATCTTGTATATAAATAAGTTATTCTTTTATTTCATAGGTAAACACATCCTCTGTATATCAACATCTTTCAGATGGAAACACTTCTGGCATCAGAGAAAAACATAAAGTATATGTACTTATTTCACAGGTAAACACTCAGAAACACTGCCAGGTATCACCTGTAATATCACCTGTAAAGAAATTACATTTTCTGTTGAAGGTAAATTGAGTATTGATTGATTGAAATTACACAATTTCATGCAGAACAAAATCTCTAGTTATGTCTACTCCCAGCCCTCAGGCAGAGTGATTCATGATATTGCAAACGCCAGCCCTCAGATAGGGTAATTCACTAAGGTCATCTCCAATCCTCAGGCAGTGTAACTCAAATAAAGTCATTCCCAGTTCTAAAGCATGATAATTAAAATATAGCCATCCCATGTATCCATCCCCTGCTCTCAGATAGGATAATTCAAATAATGTTGTCCCAAATTTTTAGGTAGGGTAATTCATATATATCTACCTAATGTTCTCAGACAGGGTAATTCAAATACTGTCATCCCCTATAGCCAGCCCCAATCCTCAGACAGGGCAATTCAAATGTACCCATTCCCAATCCTAAGACAAGGCAGTTTAAATATTGCCATCCCTAATCCTCAGAGAGGGCAATTCAAATGTAGCCATCCCCAATCCTCAGAGAGGGCAATTCAAATGTAGCCATCCCCAATCCTCAGAGAGGGCAATTCAAATGTAGCCATCCCCAATCCTCAGAGAAGGCAATTCAAATGTAGCCATCCCCAATCCTCAGAGAGGGCAATTCAAATATAGCCATCCCCAATCCTCAGAGAGGGCAATTCAAATACTGTCATCCCCAATCCTCAGAGAGGGCAATTCAAATGTAGCCATCCCCAATCCTCAGAGAAGGCAATTCAGATGTAGCCATCCCCAATCCTCAGAGAGGGCAATTCAAATACTGTCATCCCCAATCCTCAGAGAGGGCAATTCAAATGTAGCCATCCCCAATCCTCAGAGAAGGCAATTCAGATGTAGCCATCCCCAATCCTCAGAGAGGGCAATTCAAATATAGCCATCTCCAATCCTCAGAGAGGGCAATTCAAATACTGTCATCCCCAATCCTCAGAGAAGGCAATTCAAATATTACCATCCCCAATCCTCAGAGAGGGCAATTCAAATACTGTCATCCCCAATCCTCAGAGAGGGCAATTCAAATATTGCCATCTCCAATCCTCAGAGAGGGCAATTCAAATATATCTATATCCAACCATGCATGCAGTTATTGTTCATTAAAATGTTCTTTTTTCAAAGTACACTTCTTTAGATATTCTTTCTCTACTTCTATTTCAAACAATGACTTTCAATTTTTCATCTCCAAGTATTGGTTTAAAATAGCATGCAATAATTGATACAATACCTTAAGGTAGATATATGCGTCTGTTCCATGACCCTCTACAGAACTCAGCTGTAGATCTCCCCCAAAGTATCTTGCATACAGCCTTGATAGAGGTAATCCATACCCATAACCAGCCTACAAATACAAATAAGGCTTCAATTGTAATACTATCAACAATGAAGTCACTACAATACAAACCAAAACCAGGCTTCACCTCACTTCAAAATCTTCATAGAACTAAATGTATCACAGCAACACAAATGCCAATAAAGTCTGGCTGAGGGGTAGTTGTATATACCTATTCAAACACTAGCTTTCTTCTATCTTACCATTGGAGCGTTTCCCTCTCCAACATAGTCTGGCCGTGGCGCAGTGGAATACATGTATTCAAACACTAGCTTTCTTATATCCTGGGAGAAACCACCACCACAATCTGATATCTGAAAGTAAAAATAATAGACATTTGAAGAATAAATTAAATAAAATGAATTATTGATATTATCAGATGGTAAGGTATAGTTTCAAATAACTTTAAAATGACATGTAACTGTATCAACACTTATGATGTCTATGAACCATTGATTGTGATTAGATACTCCTCTTACCGATTTCTAGGTTAAATTATTATATCCAGTAAAACATTGGTGAGACTTTGTATCATTAAAACTTGTAAAAGAAGAAAAATCTATTGAGGTTTCCACTCAATAAAAAAAAGTCCATCACTACAGTCTGGTATGGAAGGGAGGTAATTAAATTTACCTTGATAGTGAGGTCTTCCTTGCCTTTAGTTATAAGTACTGATATACTGGGGATGTTGTCCTTGTTGGAATGGGTTTCAACCGTAGCCCGCATGGAATTCTGTAGAAAATTGGTTATACTTATACATAATCAAGCACAGAAATGGCCATTACACAGTCTTGTATGGAACAGACACAAGCGCAGTGATTTCAATCAACCGACTAGCTATATCAGCCCATCATTAGAAGAGGTGTCCTAATTTTAAATCCTAGTGGTAAATGAACAATACTTCACGTATCAAAATTTGTTGACCAAACTTACAACTGTATAGTATTTGTCTCTCTTTGATCAGAAAATTCCTTACCTTTAAAATTTCAAACAGTATATGAAGTAAATGTGATGGTACACAAGCGATCTGTACCTTTTTACCATCCTCATAGGCTGAAAATACAAACATATACAGATTTGTTTTCCCCCTTTCTACACAATATTGATATTTACCTACACAGCAATAAATTTAGGCATGTAACAGGGTTCATCCCTTTCTGCTACTGCCAGTCTAAACCTTTCACATAACTTTGCTTTTCCTTATTATGCAATTTGATGAAAACCATTGCATTCAGCTTGTCTAGTTTTTGATCAAACAATTACTTATTGAGATAAGACTGATCACAGACTCTGAAATGATTCTCAACACAACCTCAAATGATGTACAAAAATGTTATAGAAATCCTATTCATATCATGTCTTATTTTATAAAGCTTTAAGATACAGGCACATTTTTCCTACCAAGCCATTTAGAAGACAAGTTTACAATTTACTTACGATTATGGCACGTCACAACCATGTCTGGGGCAGTTAAGTAATACCCTTCACATAAGAAACGAGCATCACTATAGGCAGCTGAAACAGAAGATCTTCCTTTATTTCTGTGTGAAATATCTGTAAGTCTACCCACACTCCTAACCCACAGTTCATCCACAGGAGAAATATGATCATACTGATGTCTGATAAAATTATTTATAGCCATTCTTGAATAATAATTCAAAGTACAACACACTGAACTTTTACTTCAAATACGATGTATGTCAACTTCTGAAATGAAATCAAATCTTAAAAAATAAAAATACAAATGTAATTTCAATTACACTTCACACTGCATTGATCTAATCACAATATGGAGAGAGCATTACTTCGTTTGTAGTGTCTTGACTATCATTTATGCTTTACAGTGGAAATACGTGTACTGGGTACTATATCAAATTTGTAACAATCTGTTTAGATAACCAGATCTACTTACCCTGTAGAACTTCTAGGACATCACAGGAAGGGTCTATTGCACCAATATAACGAGGGTTATCTACTGTCCGGGAACCATACAAAAGCACTGAAACATAACATTTTTACTAGAGTGTTAGGGAGGTTAAAGTGGTGACTTCACAAATAAATCCAACCCTTTACTCTTATTTTTGCCTAAATTCAAATTTGCTGATGAGCTACCAATACTTTGACTCATGCCCACCTCGAGATCAATAACATCTATTGACGAACAAAGTCTAAACTCTATTCTCCAAAAATTACATCAAATCATCTGAGTAGCATTGTCATCATCAAAGTGGCACTGTCATCTCAGTAACACTATATGTGGCAATGTTAGTATCTAATTAGCACTGTCATCATCTAAACAACACTGTCATCATATTAGTGGCTTTATCATCATCCAAGAAGCACAGTCATCATTGATGCAGCACTGTCATGATTTAAGTGGCACTGTCATCATTGATGCAGCACTGTCATGATTTAAGTGGCACTATCATCATTTTATTGCCACTCACCATCTAAGTATCACTGTCTAAGTGACACTGCTATTATGGACGTAACACTCATTATTCCAGTGGCACTGCCATCATTGATGTGGCACTATCATCATCTGAGTGACACTGTGATCATCTCAGTGCCACCCATATTTTAAGGTAGTGCTAGATTCTAGTTACATCCCATTTAATACTTCAATATGTACTCAAGCTTCAGATTGTTTTAAGAAATGTATAATATCACCCAATCTAAGTTAACTTGCATTTTGCATGCAACATCATTTACCACCTGACCAAATTCCTAGTATAGACCTGGAAAAGGCTGCATTGTATAGCAAAGTCTCTCCAGTGGTAGTGTACTTAATAATGAGGTCCGTCTACACAACAAACTATGGATCAATTATAGGACCAATCCTTCAATGATTCAAGTTATTTTAGTGTCAAGAGACTCAGAAAGTCTCCAGACTGAAGCATCATTAGAATTGTAAAAGGTTAAAAGAACCCTTTCTAATCACACTATACTGAATTATTGATTTCTTCTTTCTTGTTACACAGGATACAAAGCAGTGAAAATGAGGTCAGCTTCTAAGAGCTGGTGGTGTTAGGTCAGCCACCTGTATTACCCCTTATCTAACAAGTTTGGTTTCTATTCTTTATTGTCCTATCAACAGCTATGGTTGTTTACCTATGGCTGTTCAGAGTAAACAACGTGTGTGTGTATATCTTAAGTGCATGTGTTTGTAACAAGCTGCAATATGTTAATGTAACCTTGTTTGTGATGGTGAAGATCTTAAGCTAACTTTATAGTACTACCACACACACTAAAGCATACTGCAAAAGCCTTCAGCAGGATACCCAAATTGGTTATAGTATATTAACAATGGGCAAACCAGTTGTTACTCTACCAAAATGCTGAATGTTAACCATAAAATATAGAGACTACCATTCTAAAAGACTCTGGTATGTCTTAGCCCAGGTACAGAGCCCAAATTCTTCCTCACAAAGGCGAACACTCATCTACAGGCCAAAAGTGAGGCAACATAGGGAAGAAGAAATCTCTAGAAAAGAGAGATAGATAGAGTTCTTATGCCCTACTTTCAGAGCAGTTACCTGAAACTACACTGAATCACCAAATGGAAAAGTGTATAACAACTGATTCACTACAGAGGAAGACAAAGTTGAATGCTTGAAGAAAAAATTCAAGAAAATAGGTGCTACAGTTGAAGCTATAGCACATTTAAGTAGCACTGAAACTTTGTACTCAAAACTGCCTTATAGGGATTTACTTTAACAAGACTGACTGCTGATCAAACGTGTCATAAAATAATGTCAACATACAATGGTGACAAAAATTCAGTGTGTTTCAGTACACATGATACTTTAGTTGTACACAAATCTTCAAAGGCTATCATTGTTATCAGTAGTTATGTTGAGACAACATTAACTCACTACTCTACCAGGAGAATACTGCCAGACAAAACAACAACAATATTGATTTATTGATGATAAAAAATCAGAGATGTTTTATGCACCATGGCTGTTACTGCTAAACAACTATATAACTGTAAAACAAGATTTGCATTGTCAAAATTACCTCCCTTTAACAAAGTCATAATATAAGATTCCCTAATGACAGGTTTAAAAGTAAAATTACATCAGAGTCAATACAGCAGAAATAGAGACTGAAAATGATATGTAATACAGAATTAGCTTAAAACACATTATTCATCTGACTAAAACCTCTTAAACAAAATTTATACAAGATCATTCCGACAAAAAATGATTATGAAGCCTGAGTTAGATCAATCACCAACCTCACTAATCAATTCTTAGGTAAGTGCCTAACTGATCTGTTTGCTGGGTTTGTCTCCCCTTGAACAGCTAGGGTTATTTTTGGATAGGATCTCCTTTATATTGGTGGGTGGTTTACATCTGAATAACATGAAAGTGTTTTGCTGCAAGCTATCCAAAGCAAATTGGGTGTCTCCCCCAAACTACAAACACAACAGCACAGGTCAATTTGACATCAACTTCCTGAAAAGTACAAACTGCCTTGAACAGAGATTATCAAACCACAGAAATTCAGGACTTCACTCATCTATGCAATATCCAAAGTCCAATGCTCTACTGACTAAATCATTACAGCCTCAAAGTCCATAATCAAAACACCACTTAAAGAAAGTTGGATGAGTACAGAATTCAAGTGGCCTGGTGAAAACAAGTTTTTCCTCACCATGCTGGCTGATGAGCATTCGTATACTGATGCGTGATAACAGAAAGCGATCAAGGAAGTATCGTATGGCTGTTGTATTGTTGTTCACTGTTGTGAAGTTGTAATAGGAAGGATATGTCTCTTTCAGTTCCAACACTCCCTGCGACACAAAACAAAAACATAATTTTAGTTTTCTCATTAAAATATAAATCATGAGTATAGTAATAATTTTTCAAATTACAAGGTAAGATTATCAAAATATTCTGTCATCAGGTTTAGTAAAAATTCAATGTCTCAGTTAACACATAGTGGGAGGGTTACGTCTAGAGACTACATGTATCATTACAATTTAATTAATTGTACACAATATGGTATATGCCACACTTTTTATTGTATAGGTACAGGTACATGGTGTACCTGACTGGCTCTGTTCAGGTAAACAATGTAAAACTAGCTGAATACAATTACACTAAGCAGTTGACCATATGCATCATATTTGCCGGGTTATAAGCTACACCTGTATATAAGCCGCGTTAAGTTAATTTAAGGTACACTACACATAGTTCACTAGATCAGTACAGGTAAACTACGTGAGGTTGATTAGATCAGTACAGGTACACTACGTAAAGTTGACTAGATCAGTACAGGTACACTTCATGTAGTTGATTAGATCAGTGTACCTGACTAGATCAGTACAGGTACACTACACATAGTTGACTAGATCAGTACAGGTACACTACACATAGTTGACTAGATCAGTACAGGTACTAGATCAGTACAGGTACACTACATGAGGTTGACTAGATCAGTACAGGTACACTACACATAGTTGACTAGATCAGTACAGGTACACTAAATGAAGTTGACTAGATCAGTACAGGTACACTACATGTAGTTGACTAGATCAGAACAGGTACACTACATAAAGTTGACTAGATCAGTGAAGGTACACTACATGTAGTTGACTAGATCAGTACAGGTACACTACAGGAAGGTGACTAGATCAGTACAGATACACTACATGAAGTTGACTAGATCAGTGAAGGTACACTACACATACTTGACTAGATCAGTACAGGTACACTACACATAGTTGACTAGATCAGTGAAGGTACACTACACATAGTTGACTAGAACAGTACAGGTACACTACATGTAGTTGACTAGATCAGTACAGGTACACTTCATATAGTTGATTAGATCAGTACAGGTACACTACATGCAGTTGACTAGATCAGTACAGGTACACTACATGTAGTTGACTAGATCAGTACAGGTACACTACATGAAGTTGACTAGATCAGTACAGGTACACTACATGAAATTGACTAGATCAGTACAGGTACACTACATGTAGTTGACTAGATCAGTACAGGTACACTACATGAAATTGACTAGATCAGTACAGGTACACTACATGAAGTTGACTAGATCAGTACAGGTACACTACATGAAGTTGACTAGATCAGTACAGGTACACTACATGAAGTTGACTAGATCAGTACAGGTACACTACATGTAGTTGACTAGATCAGTACAGGTACACTACATGTAGTTGACTAGATCAGTACAGGTACACTACATGTAGTTGACTAGATCAGTACAGGTATACTACATGAGGTTGACTAGATCAGTACAGGTACACTACATGTAGTTGACTAGATCAGTACAGGTACACTACACATAGTTGACTAGATCAGTACAGGTACACTAAATGAAGTTGACTAGATCAGTACAGGTACACTACATGTAGTTGACTAGATCAGAACAGGTACACTACACATAGTTGACTAGATCAGTGAAGGTACACTACATGTAGTTGATTAGATCAGTACAGGTACACTACAGGAAGGTGACTAGATCAGTACAGGTACACTACACATAATTGACTAGATCAGTGAAGGTACACTACATGAAGTTGACTAGAACAGTACAGGTACACTACATGAGGTTGACTAGATCAGTACAGGTACACTACATAAAGTTGACTAGATCAGTGAAGGTACACTACATGTAGTTGACTAGATCAGTACAGGTACACTACATGAAGTTGACTAGATCAGTACAGGTACACTACACATACTTGACTAGATCAGTACAGGTACACTACACATAGTGGTGAGTGCTAAATTCCAATCTTAAGCCTCCCTCCTAAATATCTAAATTATTCTCTCCTTTAACAACAAGCAGTGCTAGGATTATTTCCCTTGAAAAAGAAAGAAACTTATGAGACTGACAAGTACTTGTACACTCTTTACTTTAGACTGAAAATTACACTTATTGACTACCCTACAACTTTACGATTAATTTGTTAATAAACACCTTTCATTTAATGTCTGTGGCCTGTTTCCTATGCTTTAGTAGCTTGTTATGGTCACTTTGTTAGTGCACGGTGTATGTTAGTAATTTGTTAGAGAGTTTTTTTTCATGAAAAAGGATCCAGTGTTCTTTATTAGTAATTTGGTATAAAAGGATTTTTTCACATAGTTTTAGTAATTATGTGACAATAAACCCCATTCATGGTATTAGTCTTATCCATATATACAGTATATCTCTTTTTAATGATGTCACAAACCAATGTTAATTCATTATCACATTATGTGTTGCATGGCCCCTGGGCTTATTGCTGGGTAAATAATTTTTCACTTGATAACTGCCCTGAGCTCAAAGTTATGAATCATTTCTAGGGGCGTCAGTATATTTATCTATTGATCCTCAACATCTGTATTTCAGTACAACTTGTATCACACAGTTCTAAAGACAGAATATCCCTCAGATGTGATAAAAGCATTTGCTCCACACCAAACGTTAATATCAAATACACTACTTAATTCAATCAGGTTAACACAGGGTTGTTTAAATGTTATGTTAATCCAGGTTCGTTCTATACAGATACAAACCTGGGCCATTGTTTCCACGACTTTAGAATGGCGATTCTTGATTTTCTGCAGGCCTTCTGAGAAACTGTAAAATTTGAAAGTCAACTAATGGATGTTAAGGCATGTCCCTATCCCTAACAATTATTGCACCAAAGTGGCAATGGAAGTTCCTGTGAAAAGCATAAAATATCTTCTCTTCCATAACATCACACCATTTCCAGCTCTACTCATAATGAGGTACCACATTTTTCTTTTCAAACACAACAGGCCCTTAATGGGCCTGCATCACTCACCTGGTATCCAATGCTTTTCATAAATGTATTTACATCTTATATCATTGACTTTCAAAGTTTTGGTAATTAGAAGCAATTATTTGAAATTTCAAATTTCTGCGGCCTTATTGAAAATGGGTCAAGGTCATTTTTTTCACAAACTTAGTGTCATATCTTGTTCAGCTTCATTACTGGAGTGACAGTCAATGTAATGATTTTAGACATTTTTACAAACTTCATCAGGGCTCAGTCATCAGTCAGGTATTATAATTCTCTGCATTTTATTTAATCAGAAGGGTGTCATTTGGAGGTTTAAAGCTATTAAGCATCTGTGGCCTTGATTATGATTCAAGGTCATCTCTTTTGGCAAATTATGTAGAGTAGACCAGGAGTCTGTCAAACAAGTATAATTACACGAGACCCTTTGGTTAATCAGAAAAGGTCTACCAAGGTTTTAAACTGATTTCCCTTTCACAATGAACATGAGTTTAGGTCTCAAGGTTAGTTTTTTGTTTTTTTGTGAATTCTATTGAGTATCATGATTCTAGACATTTTGCTTAATCAAACTGAAGTTGTTTTATCCTATTTTTATCCTATAACCTTGAATATTGGTCAAGGTAATTTCTTTTCTCAAACATATCTCAACTTCAATCCAAGAACCTACCAGCAAAATATCATAATTCTTGGCATTTTTTTTAGTCAGAATGAAGTCATCTAAAGGTTTAATTCTAACAAATTTGACATCCATGACCTTGAATATAATAATAAGTCATTTTTTTCCCAAATTTTTTTAGCTTTTTCTCTGGAACCTAGCCAAATTACATGACACTTGGCCTTTTGGTTAATCAGAAGAAGTTGTTTGAAAATTTAAAGAACTTTGATCTTAGTGACCTTCAATATTGGTCAAAAAGACCTTTCTTTTTGCAACTCTGTCTGAGTTCATGCCAGTATATCTTTTATTTAATCAGAAGAAGGCGTTTGAATGATTTCTAAAAATTTTACACTTGTGATCCTGAATATGGTTTAAGGTCTTTCTTTTTGCGAACTTTGTTGGCATTTATCCTAGGACCTTGAAGCCAAATATTGTAATTCTTTAGCTAGGCTTTTTGAAGACCGAAAAGAAGTTGTTTCAAAGTTTTAACAAATTTGGCCACTGTGACCCTGTAATTCCACAAATTCTGTCAGATTTCATATAAGGATTATTTCAATCATATATCATGATTATGGACTTATGGTTGCTGAATAAAGTCATTCAAAGGTAAATTGGCCGAATGTTTGCTGAGAAAAGTTGTTCAAAGGTAAAAGGGGACACCATACAGACGAAGACGGACACCGCACCACAGCATATAAACTCACTTGAACCTTTAGGCCAGGTAAGCTAATGAATACAATTATTGATTCTGTAACAAAAAGATTCCCGAACAAGGTATATTCTCAATTAAACATCAATTTTAATATGTTGTACAACTTTAGAAAACAATTATTAATAATATTACAGTATCTCATGAATATCGTGGTGCACTATAGAGTTGTATATGTACATATTAGTCATGTTCAAACTATTAAGAGAAACTAGACAACTGAGGATTCAAACCTCATATGAGAAGAGCTGAAGTTCATGAATAAAACAACACAATGAGCTGACTGGATTGCACAATCCTGGGCCTATCCGTCAGAGCTAGGATAGGTCTAGAACCAAATGTATATCATATACCTGTTTAGGTTTCGTCTGATCATATTTGCATTTCAAGAAGTTCTAGCTTCGAGTGATTAACATTTACGTGCCTTAGTCTCACAATCAAAACAAACATCCTCATAGGAGATGAGTGAAATTCATGCGTTAGGGGTACACTGTACTCTATTTTCAAAATACAAGGAGGAACCTGGAGAATGGCTGAATAAAATGGCTTTGTTTCTATACTTTATATATATCAATGAGAGTTAACTAGTCTATCATCTACACAGATGATAAACGAAAAACATGGTGTATGTTGAAGAGATAGTGATCAAAAGTATATCTATCTAATCTCCCTATGTTGAGTTCATATTGATTGTGTACTATGAGAAGTGGCCTGTCCCTCGATAAGATTTGTCTGAATAGTGGAAGACGATTAAAGGTTTTATGAGTAGATGCATAGACATATCACTTACTCTGATAACACCTTCTTATCTGCTTCTTTCTTGTCTTCAAATTCTAATATTTCCTCAAAACTTTGATCATACCTGTAATAAAATAATTTACATCATCTTATAATAAATTTGCTGAAGTCTTTCATGAGTTTCATCCTCAATAAATGAATATTTATTTCCACATTTGAAGACATGTATCCTCAAGGAGGCTTACAAGAAAAAGACAAAAGGGATTTGAGGGACGATTCATAATCATCATAATCAACTCTGTACTATCTATATAATTTATGTGTGCATTAAAGCTAAAGCCAAATTTTTAAATGAAAAACAATTAAATAGTACAGATGATTCTGAGACAACAATCACATTTAGGATTTATTTCAGGGATACAACTTACCAACTTTGAACCAGGTTAACCGAGGGCATGTTACGAAGGGTTTTTGGGAGATGCCTGATCTCCTTCATGATATTGGCCAATCGAACAGGTAGCTCATGGCGAAGGAATACATAGGATGATTTCTCACAACCAGTCTTTGAGCCTACAATGAAATAGAAAAAAAAAACATTACTGCTTCAATGTAATCTGGAAAGCAAATGTGATTCCAACAATAAATTATAAATGTGATCTCCAAGTCTGTCCCTTGTTCTCACATGTGTAGCTACCATATACATGCCTTGAACATGAAAATCAGTTATTATGATGGGCAGATTTTTATAAAAGTTTCAAAATTGTCTTCACCTGCTGGGAAGAGCACTGAAGTGACCAGTTTGAGGGGTTCTATCTGCAATTCTACTTTTGTCTTAGTTAAGAAATCAATATCAAACGTCATCGATCTTTCGGACTATGAAGTGACCTAATCTTAATGAATTAACCCTAAATAATTTGCAGTTATATATAGCTACAGCAAAGACATTAATGTTTTTAGGTAAAGTGACCTTTTTCAAAGAGGGACACACATGCAGGAATAGAGTAATTAAAGAATGTGTGTCTACTGTGCCGAAAACACATTTTGATAATACACAGGTAATGGTATGTTTCTGCCACTAAAGTATGTATGATTCTAGTCAGATCTGAAAATTCACAAACAAAATTATACCCAAATAACAACCTCGGTTTTGACAACTTTATATAGTCAAAACTCATTATCTCGAAATTCAAGGGACTGTGAAAAATATTTTAACTTATTCGAATTTCGATTCAAATGAAGTGTATAAATAAGGTTGACGATATCAGTTTCCTGATGTTGATTATGGTTGTACGCAGTAGGGCTACAATAGCACACAAGCAGCGTAATTTTATGTGTTTGAAATGGCAGTAAATAAACACATAAATTTTATTCTATTTTCTCCTTTTATCGTTTATTCATTCAAACAACAAAACATGTAATAACAACTCCAAACTAAAATTGCAAAGAAGTAGAAGGAAAAAAATTGGGACTTGAAACGAAATTTCGACGCAAGTGATTTCGAGACGAGTTTCAACTGTGTGTGTCATGCAATAGGTCATCCTAAAAACTGCCTGTGCGCTATAAAAACCACGTGAGTAAAAACGTGAGCCCAAACGTGTCTCTATTTATACAATCTGAAACTCTGACCTGTAGGTCAATGACACAGTTTATCTTATAAGATTGCTCAGTAACCAGGCATTATATATAGAACAACAAGTCCCAACAGTAGTAATGATCTAACCTTGGCCTGATAGAAATAAACACATTGGTTTACTGCTGCAATGTTGACATCAATGTCACAATGCATACGGCTGTTTACCAAATCAACATACGCGACAATATAGTACCCACAGATACAATAGTATATTCAGTGACTTTGGATAACTGAAAAAAATATATTAAAAGTCTGAAGAGGATTATGCATTTACAATATAAATATGAGTTTATATATCATAACAAGGTTTTATTTGCACTTCTCATAAGTTAAATGCTTGTAAGCTGTCATTTATTTTTTTGGAAAATTAGATGACTTTACAAATAGAGTTAACCCTGTATATTATCATACTGATCCCAATATGAAATTTTCATTTAGCTCAAAATAAAGTAAATCACTCTAGTCTATCTTACTACAAAATATTATTTAAACAATGAAACACAAATTTTCTTCCATTAAGAAACTTAAGGCAAGATCAAAATTGCAGGTAAAAATTTCATTCTTCACTGATTACATATTGATTCTAGTCCCCACACTTGTTAAATATTCAGACTGTATCAGATCAATAGACTGGAGCCAATATCAGGATCAATTCATTGCACCACATCATCTAATTTAACAGCAGAAAGCTCTCTCAATCTAGCTCTCAGATGAATGAATATATACGTAATGTCTTTCTGTACTAAAAGAAGAATCTATCTCAATGCAGTTTTTTAAACTCTCCTAGACAAATATTTCATAATGATGACAGTGTTCCACATTAAATGTAACACTACACCATAATTAGCCGAGTCTATTTACTGAAATCTGTCTTGGTCTATAGAGTCCTAGGTTGATGATTAACAATTTTCTAACATTATTGTTTCTACCAGTAATATTTTTAATGAAATTGGTTATTGTCGTTCCTTTTCTACAATATCTAAAGTTAAGCACAAAACATGAATCAATGGCAATGTATGACGTCAATGAATGAATTTCTCGCTGAAACACTGACTGAGAGTGTTTATTATATATAACAAGTAGCAACAGATCACTTAACAACATGTAATGACTGCCAGATGTGACATTTGAACACTAATAACTACCTCACCAGGTATAACTTAACTCTATATATACTATACAGTACTGAATCAGTTTAAGTGGCTCCTCACATGACCAGTAACCTTTACACGGACCCTCACATGACCAGTGACCTTTACACGGACCCTCACATGACCAGTAACCATTACACAGACCCTCACATGACCAGTAACCATTACACAGACCCTCACATGACTAGTCACCTTTACATGGAACCTCACATGACCAGTAACCTTTACACAGACCCTCACATGACCAGTAACCTTTACATGGAACCTCACATGAATTGTAACCTTTACATGGAATGTCACATGGCTAGTCACCTTTATATGGACCCTCACATGACCAGTTACCTTAACATAGACCCTCACATGACTAGTCACCTTTACACAGACCCTCACATGACCAGTAACCATTACACAGACCCTCACATGACCAGTTACCTTTACACAGACCCTCACATGACCAGTAACCTTTACACAGACCCTCACATGACCAGTAACCTTTACACAGACCCTCACATGACCAGTAACCTTTACACAGACCCTCACATGACTAGTCACCTTTACACGGACCCTCACATGACCAGTAACCTTTACACAGACCCTCACATGACTAGTCACCTTTACATAGACCCTCACATGACCAGTAACCTTTACACGGACCCTCACATGACCAGTTACCTTTACACAGACCCTCACATGACCAGTAACCTTTACCTGGAACCTCACATGACCAGTCACCTTTACACAGACCCTCACATGACTAGTCACCTTTACACGGACCCTCACATGACCAGTAACCTTTACACAGACCCTCACATGACCAGTAACCTTTACACAGACCCTCACATGACTAGTCACCTTTACATAGACCCTCACATGACCAGTAACCTTTACACGGACCCTCACATGACCAGTTACCTTTACACAGACCCTCACATGACCAGTAACCTTTACCTGGAACCTCACATGACCAGTAACCTTTACACAGACCCTCACATGACCAGTAACCTTTACATGGAACCTCACATGAATTGTAACCTTTACACGGACCCTCACATGACCAGTAACCTTTACACAGACCCTCACATGACCAGTAACCTTTACATGGAACCTCACATGAATTGTAACCTTTACACAGACCCTCACATGACCAGTAACCTTTACATGGAACCTCACATGACTAGTCACCTTTACATGGAACCTCACATGACCAGTAACCTTTACACAGACCCTCACATGACCAGTAACCTTTACCTGGAACCTCACATGAATTGTAACCTTTACATGGAATGTCACATGGCTAGTCACCTTTATATGGACCCTCACATGACCAGTTACCTTAACATAGACCCTCACATGACTAGTCACCTTTACACGGACCCTCACATGACTAGTCACCTTTACACGGACACTCACATGACTAGTCACCTTTACACGGACCCTCACATGACTAGTCACCTTTACACGGACACTCACATGACTAGTCAGTAACCTTTACACGGACCCTCACATGACTAGTCACCTTTACACGGACACTCACATGACTAGTCACCTTTACACGGACCCTCACATGACCAGTAACCTTTACATAGACACTCACATGACTAGTCACCTTTACACGGACCCTCACATGACCAGTTAACTTTACATGGACATTCATATGACCAGTAACCTTTACTTAGACCCTCTCATGAATTGTAACCTTTACATCGAACGTCACATGACTATTCACCTTTACATGGACCCTCACATGATGAGTGACCTTTACACAGACCCTCACATGACCAGTAACCTTTACATAGACTCTCACATGACTAGTCACCTTTACATGGACATTCACATGACCAGTAACCTTTATATGGACTCTCACATGAATTGTAACCTTTATATAGACCCTCACATGCCCAGTAACCTTTACACAGACCCTCACATGATGAGTAACCTTTACATAGACCCTCATATAATCTTGTTTTTTTGTAAAATCAGAATGTATTTGATTTTGCATCAGCAGTGTTAGCATCCTGTAAATAATATGTATGTTAAAAGTTATTTTTAACAGTTGTCATTTCAAGTTATTGATTGTTTGGTCACTTACAATGTGAATATTTATGTTCACTATCAGGTCATTCTATTCATATAAAAAAATCTTATTCACAATAAAATAACTTTGACCTATGATAAATGTTCTAATACCAGCCTTCAAATTTTTATTGGATGTTTCACAAACAATTTCCGAGGCAATAGAAGCATATATGTATTTAAGAGGTGGGTACAGTTGAGTGGTAAGTAAAAACAAGTAGTGTACATTGTTATGATTGGTGTACAAATCTGTTGTCAGATTAATAATGAAATCTACAAATCAGACATTCTCTCAGTCTGGTTTCATATTTTAAGTAATCAACTGTTACTAGTTAATGATGTCCAAGCATCAAACTAGAATCGAACTCTGTATGCATACCTGGCACACAAAATGCATGTGTATTGTTTTCTTTAAAGTTTTAATTTTATGACTTGGATTATTTGCTATCAACTTATAAATGTAATAAAGTTCTTCATAAATCTTGAATAATATTTACCAAATAGAGTGACTTAATGGGACTGTTAGCACAGACCTACAGCAGACCAAGATTTATGCACAGGAGTCAATATCTATGATGAACCACCAGCTGTATTTGAAGGAATACGCCATCACAGGTATACAAATGTTAAACAACAGGTATGATACAGGTTAACCAGTTCCTAAAATACCTGTAAATATCCTACATTTTGTAAACCAGTTATGTAGTTACAAT